TCATTGTTGTTTGGCAGGTCCGGGCTGGGGATTCGAACCTGCCACCTTAGGTGTACGTGGCTGGCGCCTTAGCCGGTTGAGCTATAGGCGCCGAGCCGACAAAATTCTTAATGTCACTGTTTGATTCCTTTCTCTTCCCCCTTTTTGTGATTGTTTTATAAGACCTGCAATTATGTTTGTGATGGTTTTAGTATGGTGAATATCGGCCTTTTCTTTCCATGTTTAAGACTCCTTCAAGTATTTCCTATAGGGCTGGTCTAGTGGTGATGAATTCCCACAGTGTTTTCTTGTCTTGCAAAAATTTTATTTATCCTTCATTTATGAAGCTTATTCTAGCAGGATATAAAATTTTTGGCTGACAGTTTTTGTTCTTTTAGCACTTTGAAAATGTCATAGGTACTATTCTTTTCTGGACTATAGGTTTCTGATAAGAAGTCTGATGCTAGTCTGATGGAGTTTCCTTTATAGGTGACAAATTCTTTACTTCCGATAATTTAAAAAATTCTTTCTTTCACTTTAGGCATTCTAAATATAATATGCTATGATGAAGTCTTGTTTGAAATGTAATTGCCTGGGAATAGTGGGCCTCCTTTACCTGGATGTCTAACTCTCTTGCCAGACTTGGGAAGTTTTCATAGATTATTTCCTTAAATAGTTTTCTGCAGTGACTCATGCCTGTAATCCTAGGGCTCTGGGAGGCCGAGGTGGGTGGATAACTTGAGCTCATGAGTTCAAGACCCAGCCTGAGGAAAAGTGAGACCCTGTCTCTGCTAAAAATAGAAAAACTGAGGCAAGAGGATCGCTTGAGCCCAAGAGTTGGATATTGTTATGAGCTATTATGCCATGGCACTCTACCCAGGGCAACAGCTTGAGACTCTGTCTCAAAAAAAAAAAGAAGTTTTTCTAAATCTTTTGATTTTTCTTTCCCCTTGGGAAGACCAATAATTCATAAGTTGGATCACTCTATGTAGTTCCAAATGTCTGGACTTTGTTTATTCTTTTCTTTTCTTCTTCTTCTTCTTCTTTTTTTTTTTTTTGAGACAAAGTCTAGATCACAGCAACCTCAAACTGCTGGGCTCAAGCGATCCTCTTGCCTCAGCCTCCCAACTGGCTGGGACTACAGGCACCCACCATGATGCCCAGTTAGTATTTTCTATATAGTAAGACGAGGTCTCATACTCTTGCTCAGGCTGGTCTCAAAATCCTGAGCTCAAGCAATCCACCCAGCTTGGTCTCCTAGAGTGCTGGGATTACAGTCGTGAGCCACCATGCTAGGCCTGTTCATTCTTTTTAACTCATCTTTCCAAATTTTTTTCTGACTGGATTATTTAAAAAGACCAGTCTTCAGGTTTTGAGATTCATTCTTCTACTTGGTATAGTCTATTACTGGAGTTTTCAAACATGTTTTGTTTTTGTCAAAATGGCACCATACTATTCCAAACATATTTTGTTATTTCCTTTAATGAGTTTTTCAGTTCCAGAATTTCTGTTGTTTTTTTTTTTTTGTAAGGATATCTATCTCCTTGGTAAATTTCTTGTTTGTATCCGGAATTTATTTTCAAATTTCTTTGTATTGATTTTCAGATTTCTCTTATGTCTCTTTGAGCTTTGTTAAATTTAATATTTTGAATTTTTCTTTTTTTATTTTCCTGAGACAGAGCGTCAAGCTATCCCCCTGGGTAGAGTGCTGTGGCTTCACAGCTCACAGCAACCTCCAACTCCTGAGCTCAAGCGAGTCTCCTGCCTCAGCCTCCCAAGTAGCTGGGATCACAGGCACCCACCACAACACCCAGCTATTTTTTTTTTGGTTGCAGCCGTCATTGTTGTTTGGCGGGTCCGGGCTGGATTCGAACTTGCTACCCTAGGTGCAGGTGCCCCAGCCACTTGAGCTACAGGCGCCAAGCCATATTTTGAATTTTTATCTGAATTTCAAGAAGTTCTTTTTTATTGGGAGCTATTACAGGACAGTTCTTGTGGTCCCTTGATGGTATCCTATTTCCTTGTTTTTTCATGTTTTCTGTGTCCTTCCACTGATATCTGTGTATCTGTAGGCACTTCTTCCTATTTTTTGAAATTGCTTTCATAGGGGAGTTCTTTTTTTTTCCTGAAGAGGTATATATGTTGCTGGGTGAGTCAGACACTTTGGCTTTGGTTTTGGGTGACCGCAGTAGTGTGATCTTTATGTGACCTTTTTGGCCGTATGCAGGGTTAATAGTATCTGTGATTTCCTCAATGGTTTAGGGTATGGTTATTAGTTGATGCTGTGGTAAAGTTTTGCTTGAGACGTCAACACCAATTGAACCAGTCTTCAGGCCCCTGTAATAGCAGCAGTGAGCTGAATGTGCAGCTACCCAAAGTAGCTTACACTGGCACAAGTGTTAGGGGCCCAGGAGACTCAGTTCTTGGCTTCCAAGTGATAGTAGTGGGAGAAGTGGGCCAGGTGTATGGGCAGGTTCTCAGGCCTCTGAGCAGTTGGTATGATGTGGGTGATGGCAGTGAGGGTGGTAGAGCAAGCCACTCGGACCACAGGGTCCATGTTGGCGTTGCTGGCAGCTGCAGTGGGTAGGGGAGGCTAATCTTCAGTCCCATGTCTGCCTGAAACAGGGCAGTGGGTATTGTCCTAAATATGCATAGGAGAGCCTGGTTCCTCCTCGGTGGGGCATGTACCCAAATTTGGACCAAGAGTGGGGCACACTCTAGTGTTAAATTCTCAAATGGTGCCTTAAGCCGCTAACCTGGGAGGACAGGATTCCTCCCAGGCAAGCAGCTTGGGCAAGAAGTTGAAGGGAGGGCAGACCACTGTGTCTCCATTTCAAAGCAATCAGGTGCAGAGCAGTGGGTATTGTTCTGGTATGCCTGGGAGAGCCTGGTTTCCCTCACCCTCTCTGGCCAGGTGGTGGCTGAGACTACAGGCATGTACACCCAGATAATTTTTCTACTGTTTGTAGAAACAGGGTAGCCTTGTGTTACTTGGGTTAGTCTTGAACTCCTGGCCTCAAATGATACTTCTGCCTTGGCCTCCCAAAGTGCTAGGATTACAGACATGAGCCACCATGCCTGGGCCAGTTTAGGATATATTAACATTATCCCACATATTTTTCATGTCCTAGGCATCAATTTATAACATCTAATGTTTCTGCTGCCTGTTCACAACCTATCTACTAATCTAGAGCAGTTGTGAGGAAGATCTATTTAAATGAGACAAAAATATGAGTAACAGAGGGGGTGCCTGTGGCTCAGTGGGTAGGGTGCCCGCCCCATATACCGAGGGTAGTGGGTTTGAATCTGGTCCCAGCCAAACTGCAACAAAAAATAACCGGGCATTGTGGCAGATGCCTGTAGTCCCAGCTACTTGGGAAGCTGAGGCAAGAGAATCACATAAGCCCAAGAGCTGGAGGTTGCTGTGAGCTATGACGCCATGGCACTCTACTGAAGACGACAAAATGAGACTCCAACTCAAAAAAAAAAAAAGAAAATATGAGTAACAGAATATTTTAAAAGAAATGCAGTTCACTGTTTTTTTCAGGTTGGTTTAATTGTTTGCCAAAAGGTCCTAATCTATCAAATTATTGATGATTAAATAATTTGGGCTAGTATATTAAATTATTGATCATTAAAATTATTCTTCCAAAGAGTTTAAAAATAGATCATTTTGTAAATATTTGTCTACTTTAACATCATTTAATTTAAAAACATTTATTGAACTCTTTTATGTGCAAAGATGCAATTTGAACCCTTGGGATATTTACACTCTAATATTTCCTCTTATCAAAGTTACCATAGCCCATTACCAGTATACTACAATTAACATTCTCATGACAGATTATAATAGCTACCTTATAATAAGAATGGTATGCAGCAATGACAGAAATTTGAAATGATAGATTTATTAAACAATTGTAGGCCATCAACTTACGAAAGCATATTAGGAGACTTAAAAAGACAAAAGGTATACAATTAAACAATGACAAACACAGAAGATTGCCTTAGCTGAACAATTCTCATCAGTTATATCTATAGTATATTATTAATTTACTTAGCAAACGTTTTTTCTGACATCTGCAAAGTGAAAAAAGTGAAGAGTCAAACTATATTTTCTAATTAGTACAGAAAATATATATTGATCATGTCACACTTATTTCTTTTGGATACAGTTAAGAGAAATGGTTCCATTTTTCTTTTCTTGTTATAAAATGAAGAGGTTCCTTAGATTTCTGGGTAAGATGAATAACTGGCAATCCCACAATGATTTTCTCTATTTCTTGCCATCCGAATATATCCTTTGTCACCAAAGTAGAGGCCCCAGCTTTAGAAAAAGAAATAACACAAAATTATAAATAAATACAACCAAATCTTATTTTATATATTTATTTTTGAGACAGTCTCAAGCTGTGGTGTCATAACTCAAAGCAACCTCCGACTCGGGCTCAAGCAATCTTTTTGCCTCCGTTTTTCTATTTTTAATAGAGATGGGGGTCTCACTTTTGCTCAGGCTGGTATTGAACTTGTGAGCTCAAGCAATCCATCCACCTCAGCCTCCCAGAGTGCTAGGATTACAGGAGTGAGCCACCTCACCCAACCTTATTATAACTTTTTATCTCCTCCTTTACTCCTATAAGTGATCATATTTGAAAAGCTATAAAATAAGATTAGAATGAAATAATACACATATAATAATTTCTCCAGGAAATTTAGGCAATTTTTTTTTTTTT